ACACACACACACTTTGGATCCAGTTACAATGTCTTCTCAAGGTTCCTCAAACATGACACCCCATCTTCTTACTTCTCTGATTTTCATTGTCTGACCTCAATGCCTGGAACTTTCTCATTCCTCATCTTTACCTCCTGATTTCCCTGGGTTTATTCAAACTCTAGCTAAAATCCCACCTGCTACGTGAAGCTTTTCCCAATTCCCCTTAGTGCTTGTTTCTTCTAAATTGGAGATTATCTCCAGTTTCTCCTGTATATGTCTTGTTTCTATGTAAGTAGTTGTTTGTGTGTAGTCCTCCCACTAGTCAGAGCAGGGGGAATTGTTTTTGGTCTCTTTGTATCCCCAGGGCTTAGCACTGTGGCACATGGCAGGCACTTAATAAATCCTTGTTGACTGACTGGCCAACCAATAGATATGGGATTTTAAAGTCTGCAAACTGCTTTATATTATATTATATCATTGGTGCCTCACAGCAACCCTGTGCATTTGGTGCTAAAGTCATCACAATCCTTTTACAGACTGAGAAACATGACTTGCCCAGGGTCATACGGCTAAGAAGTATCAGAGGCAAGAATCCAGCCCAGGTCTTCCTGAGTCTAAGACCAAGATATAATTCATATATAGGCACATAGTAGAAGAGACTAATAGCTTTGTTTATAAAAACTGTTTATTTCTATTTACAGTAAATCTTTCAGGCTTAGAGAATCTGTGTCATGTATTGCAGTGGGGTCAAACTCAAACAGAAAAAGGGACCACTAATTTATACATAAGGATCCCTACAAGCCACATATTGACTTAATTTTAAAATGTAGTATTATCTGTGTTTTATTGTCTTTTTATTTATTTTATGAACTATTTCTCAATTAATTTTAACCTATGAAGGCCACATGCAGAGTATTGTGGGCCACACGTGGGCCATCAGCTGTGTATTTGACACTGTGGTGTAGTAGATAGGGAGCTGACCTTGAAACCAGGAAGATCTGACTTCAAATCTTGCCCTAGCAAGACTACTTCTACCCTAGACTAACCCTAATGGTAGTCATCGCTAGGATGGGGGGGGGAAGGGAAGAAAATTAAAAAAAAAAAAAGACATTTACATGATAATTTTATTATACATTTAAAAGGAATAGCAAGTTGTAGTTAATAGATTTTTAGTTACATGTCCTTGTTTTATTCCATAAACTAACCTCTAGATAAATGAAAGAAATGCTCATGTTTTTAACAATATTCTTCTTGTGATGTGGTGTGGCTAAAAATCATGAAATGACCGGTATTTCCAGAAAATTTAAAGTTGAGAGTTATAGAAAGAGCATCAGAGAGGAACACAGTTCTTACAATGAAGATGTTATACATAACCAATGCAGAGTTAAACAGGAAAGGCACCAAGGATGTCATGAGACATCTGATGGAAAAAGAAGGTAGGCTGGTCATGGAGGGAAAGCAAAAGATAAGTGACGGACAATACAACATATGTGACTTCACTGTATCTACACAAAATCAGAAGACATAGAAGAAGGCTTCCCACACATTTGGTGGAGCCCCTCCCCAAACCTCCATGAAGGATCTAGGGAAGGATATGGACAACAACAAGAGATGAACATGCGTGGATGGCATGTGGTCTACACCAGCAGCGTCAAACTCAAATAGAAAAGATCTTTGTGGTTCACATATTGATTGAAGAAAACTACAAATGAACATTATTTTGTACTGCATTTTTATCTATTTTGCTAAACATTTCCCAATTATATTTCCATTGGGTTCAGTGTGTAGGTACTTGGCCTGAGCCAAGTTTGACACCTCTGCTGTAAACCACTGATGGGGGTAACTGCATTGATGACATCATAACTCCATCAACATATTAAAGGATATCTGTATCACACAGAAAAAAATCACATTGAATGCAGAGATATAGAGGGAGATGAAGATGTTATATTTTTATGCTTTAACTCTTCATTATTATCAATAAAGATTTGATAAAAATTTAAAATAAAACCTACAGTAAACTTTGATCACCATCATGTGTGATAACATTCACCAAATGCCACCTCAAACAGCTACCATTGTGTAAAGAAATTAAACTGCCTGAATTTTCTTAATATCTGAGTATACCATATCATGTTGGTGACCTTGTATTGATAAATTATTTTGAAGGAAAATTATGTAGGATATAAGGACTCTTGGATTTGCATGCAGTTTATTGTAGGTTTGGAAATTCTTAGAGCAGGCACTGGAAAGTATCCGAACTGTTATGGCTGACATAGTACATGGAAAACTGAAACAATCTTTGGGTTAAGTACTGAGTCAAATGTAGCTCATAAGACATAAAAGTATATACAACAGCACCAAATTACTGTTGATCAATAATCATAAGGATGCTTTTTACAAGTTATTATCCAATCAGTCAACAAACATTTATTAAGCTAAATTTATATGCTAGGCACTGGGGACAGAAAAACAAAAATACCCATAAGGAGCTTCCATGTTGTCAAAGAAGACAACGTGTACTCATATACAAAATACATATAAAGCAGAGAAGAGGTAGGTTTGGGAGTAAGAGAGGCATTGATAGTAAGGGGGATCCAGGAAAGATCACAAGAGGAAACTTGAAGGAAAGTAGTGACAACAATTATACAATGTTAAATAAATCAGTAAATAAATCTCCACATATTAAATGGGAAACTTTACATGACTGAAACCAATGTTTTTTTTTAACCAAAACAGAAGAGGTACTATATATATAATAAAATTATCATATAATTTTTAAAATTTTCTTTCCTTACTCCACATCCCAGAGATGACTACCATTAGACACAAATAGGTGTGTGTGCATGTGTGTGTGTGTGTGTGTGTGTGTGTGTGTGTGTGTGTATAAAGTTGTTCTATAAATACTTCTATTTATCAGTTCTTTCTCTGGATGCAGATAGTGCCTTTCTTCATATGCCCTTTATGACCCAGCAATACCACTATTAGGTCTAGTTCAAAAGATGACTAGGAAAAAAGGAAAAGAACCTATATGTTCTAAAATGTTTATAGGAGCTCTCTTTGTGGTGGCCAAGAACTGGAAATTTCAGGGATGCCTTCAATTGGTGAATGAATGAATAAGTTGTGGTATATGAATGTGATAGAATATTACTACGCTATAAAAAATGATGAGCTCAATGATTTTTGAAAAACATGGAAAGACTTGAATGGAATAATGAAGAGCAAAATGAGCAGAACCAAGATAACATTGTATACAGTAACAGCAATATTGTATTAAGAATGACTTTGAGTGATTAAGTCATTTTGACTATTATAAATATCCAAATTAACTTAATTCATTTTAATCTATTAAATGAGTCAGTCATGGGGGAAAACTGAGTTAAAACTGAAGGACAAACTGAATCTATTGCACCACCAAGATATTAAAAGAGTTAGTGAATGACTTCCAATATAGCAGACAGATTCTCTCTAGAGGTTTTTTGGGAAGTTACGAGATAGATTCACAGAGAAGATGTCTGATGGAGTAACAACGTGTACTAGGGAGGAAGTAGTCACACATCAGTGAAACCATAAATCCACCAACGCATACAATTTATGATGAACAAATGATTTCTTGAGATATTGTTTAACAAAGAAGCATTCTTTAAATAGTTCTGTAAATAACGCTAAATACTGTTCTTCTCTTTGGAAACTTGGAAGCAAAACTGATTGGGACCAGTGAGGCACTAAGAAAAAGGCCAATTCTTTTCCAATTGACTGCCAAGGCATTCCATGTTTCAGCTATTTAAGACTCCACTGAGGAAAACAAGCAAATATTTATATTTTCCACTCTTCTTGTCATGCTACAGTTCAGAATTGTCTCAGTTGATTTAGCGCCAATTTGAGTGAGTCTTTAGACATTTGTCCAAGTAACTGGACCAAGGATACCTAGTGAAGCCTTGTCACAAATGACAGGGTTATTCTTCATTATTTTCAGTATGTTTGGGTCCAGAAGTGATGTTGAATAGACAGTAGATAAACAAGCCAAAGACCCACTGAATTGTAACACCGGGAATATTAAACCTCATAGTCTGACATATTTCACTACAGTATGAACTACCAAGAAGAACACTCCAGGATGTCAAACAAACAAAAAAGATTATAGTTAGTCGAGAGACAGAGATCAAAAGACTCTAGCTTTATATTCATAAAAATCAATTGCTATATTTAGCATTTGGTTATAGAGTGGATTATACCATGCACAGACAATATTTCTCAGTTCTCAGGCATGGTGCAGCTTCCGTTGTAAATTAATTAAATAGTATTCTGGCTTATAAACCCATCCCAGTTGAGTATCGTTAGCATTAATCCATTCCCAAAGACTTAATCAAACTTGATAAAATTCAGTCTCTGAACCAATACTGTTAAGATTCTGTACAATGGTGACCTCACCATTGTAACCTAATGGGAAACAGCTGACAAACCTGACTGAGGAAAATAATGACGTGAGCTAATAATTTGAAGATGAGCCCTGGTCCAAGGTTCAAGATTCTAGAAGCAATTATATGTATTTCTACATATAGTATGAAAGATAATGCTTCTGTGTTAGGTGGACCAAGACTCCTAACTCTCCACTGAATTGGCATGCATACATCATACAATTCTTGTTTTCCTGACTCAGAATTTCTCTGGCGTAACACACCACGAATTCAACTCCATTAATGTAACATCAGCTAAAATGAAGAAACTCGCCCACTTCACTAAGATTTAATGACAGAGACACTTTCCTCTATTGCATAAAAACACTGTGAGACTTGCTACGGGCAAAATATTCCTCATGTGATGAAAATATTAACTAAATGAAGAGCAAATTGAATAGTTTTCTTAAGAAACTTTTCCCTTAGAATTTTACCAGCCAAGACCTCTGGTTATTAGCAATCATTGTTGTCTTTAGTCAAAATCATTTCATTTGGTCAAACAACATAGAATTTCTGTAATTTCTAAAACACATCAGTATTTGGAAAGAAGGCTAAACTCACCAATACTGGGATAACCAGGTGTCGAAGGATCTCCTCCAGGATTCAGTGAAACCATGAAGGGGCCGTGGCTAAGGTTGGTAGTCTTTGGTAAATCGCAAGGATCAACATAAAGAAGAACGCCTCCAAACCCAGCTTTTTCCAGCAGCGAAAGCTAATGAGGAAGATGAGAACAACAATGCAAAAATGTGACACTTAGAACATCTCTAAAAGGGTTAAAGGTAAGCGAGATGTAAAAAGGACTATATTCATAATTTTTAATAGAATTATAGGCTCACAGGATGTTAGAAATGGAAGGAAACTTACAAACGTTTTAATTAAGGGACCTCAAACCCATAGTCCATACTTTGGAGTTTTCTTGGCAGAGATAATAGAGTGGTTTGCCATTTCCTTCTCCAGCTCATTTTACAGATGAGGCAACTGACACAAACAGGGTTAAGTGACTTGCCCAGGATCACCTAGCTGGTAAGTGTCTGAGGCTGGATTTGAACTCAGGTAGATGAGTCTTCCTGACTCAAAGCCTGGCACTCTAACCATTGTGCAACCTAGCTGCTCCCATCTTTCAACCAGTTCCAAATCCAGATCACACCTGTACATTTTGGCCAGGAGGTCAGTACAGAAATAAGGTATCCAATAAGAGAGAAATTTAGTATTGAGCCAGATGGAAATAGTTGTCCAAGTGGACCCTGCCCTGGTCAGTTCAACTAGAATCACACATTTAGAGCTGGAAAGAGCCTCAGAAGCCACTGAGTACAACTCTCTCATTTTACAGATGAGGAAACTGAGGCAAATAGAAGTTAAGTGACTTGCCCGGGATAAAAGAACCAGTTTCTGAAGCAGGATTCACACCCAAGTTTTCCAGACTACAAGTCTAGTGCTATGCCCCATAGTTGCCATACATGTTAGGTATCAAGTCATTTAGAGGCACCATATTGAAGGAATGATGGAAGAAATGATGGAATAAAATTAATTTTAATGCATCTTGCTTGTCCACTTACAAAAAGAACTTCTCTCTACATAGACTCCTCTCAACCTGCCTTTTTCCTCCTTTCCAGAACATTGTTACAGGGAGAAAAACAACAGGTGTACTATCTCCCTCCCAAGGCAACATTGAGGAAGGCACTTTGTAACATATGAAGGGAAATGTACCTTACTCTCATCGATCCCACACATGGAAAACATGGGTTTTGAAAAAGCAAGCTCTTTGAGTTTATCCTTCATTTCTGGCAATCATTGTACGCTTCATTAGATACTTCATTAATTTGCTTATTACAAAGGTAGGTAGCACCAGATTGGGCTGTGCTTCTTGACTCTCCTGTGGGTCTGCTTTAAACAGGGATTTTTCATAGCAAATGCTTCACGACTGGGCTATAAGCATTGAGATGCCGGAGCTAGGACAATCAGTGGCTCACCTCCCAGGGGACCACCTCCTCAATCCCAAGATTCCACAAGGAGCTTTTGTTAAAATTGCAGCAATTTTAGCGTGCACTATTGGAGATGGAATTTTCATGGCAATGAGAGGTAATGTAATCTAGTGAAGAGAGAGCTAGTTTCAAAGCTAGAACGAGCCAGATTCAAGTCCTTTCTCTGTCACATACTTTCTTTGAGACCCTGGACAAAATTCCATAATGTCTTGGAGTTCTAGGCAGCTCTCTATGACTACAAATTTCAGAGGAAGTTCTGACCTAAATTGTCAGAGGAAATTTCCTGTGCTGATAAAACCACAGGTCCATGCCCTATTCCTGTTACAGAGGTGTTTATATGCCCATGCATAACAAAATATCAAAATTTTAAATTTTAAAACAATCTGCCTACTCCTCTAGGAAAGAAAAATACCCATTTTACCTTATTTTCCTTCATCTTTTGTGAAATATCTAATCTATTTCAGCTGAAAAAAATCTACATCTTTGCATCAAAGATTAATTCGTTCAATCTAAATTAATTCATTCATATTAAAGAAGGGGATATATATATGGGAGGAAAAACAAGAACTCTGTGTGTGTGTGTGTGTGTGTGTGTGTGTGTGTGTGTGTGTAAGAGGGGTCTCTAATTATCACTGACTCACTTTCTCTGGATCCAGTTGTGTCTTTGGTGGATCAGCTGATTCTTTATCAACTGATTAGTGACATTCACTGCTATGTGGGCAAAGTTGGACTGCCCCTAGTACTAGCATGAGTACTTGGCACAGAGGTAGCCAGGGGTGATGGTCTGAAATGTTGACTGTTCAATGCCAGTGCTTGACCTTCAGGTTTCATAGTGAGGAAGCATATCCCAATGTAGCAAAAAGTGTTGCCCCAAAGGCTGCTCCTGGGGTAACGAGAGAATGATGGATCTGTATGTTCTATGTCCACATCTCATTAGGTTGATTTTTATTTCACTTTTTTTTCATTATCCTTGACTCTCTCTCTCTCTCTCTCTCTCTTCATTTATAACATCTCTCACAACTGACCCTTCCCTCTATTCACAAAGGTACATTAGTTTAGGCTCGCATCACTTAGATAAATGCAAAACAACCTCTAAATTCTTGTCCCTGATTCAAGTATCTCTCCATTTCAACCTATCCTCCATTCTGTTACCAATTATGTTTTCCATCAGCACGGATCTGACCAAGTCACTTTTTTTTTTTACTCAGTAAAATCCAGTGGCTTCCTATTGCCTCTGAAATAATATAAACTATTCTGTTCTGTTCTTAAAGTCCCTCAAAGCATGGCCCCAAACTATTTTTGCACTCTTATTGGGAATTACTCTCTCTCTTCCACACTGTTATAGAGTCAAATTGGCTATATCTTTGCACTTTGCCATGCCTGGAATCCTCACTTGCACCTCACACAATCCCTTGATGCCTCCAAGTTGCATTTCAACCAGCACCTTCTAGATGAAGCCTTTCTTTGTCCCTTCAACTACTAGGACCTTCCCTCCCAAACTCCTTGTATCTAACTATGTTAAATTTAATTGCATTTATTCTTATTATATTTAGTCTTTCTATTATCAGGTGATTGATTTTTACTCTATTGTAAGCTCCCTAAGTGCAGAGTCCACATCTCATTAATTTTCATTCATTCATTTTCAATTCAACAAATAACTACTAAACATCTGCCATATGCAAGACACTGAAGGACATAAATTGTAACTTTGGTCTTCAAAGATCTTGCACGTGGCAGATGTTCAGTAGATAAAATAGTCTTCTTGCTGCTGTTTCCACATGACTCTCCATCTCTGGTGTCTTTGCATCGGCTCTTCTCCACACTCATGATGCATGCCCTTCTCGATTCTGTCTCTTCCAATCCCTAATTACCATCAAAGCTCAGCGAGAAGCCTTTCCTATTGGCTCTGATGATGTCTCGTCACCATCACCACCCGCTGCCATTATCTAGTATTTTGTATCTACTTATACATGTATCATCTCTCCAGACAGAATGTAAATTCCTTGAGTGTAAAAACTGTAGTTTGTTTTTGTATCCCTAGCCCCTGGAACAGTAAATGGCACATATCAGGTGCTTAACAAATACTCATAGATTCATTAGTTTATCAGGCAATAATTTTGACATTATGTATTTCATTTACAAGTTATTCCTTTTCTAGTTAGATTTGTTATTAAAAAACACACGTCATTTTCCAAAGAAGAGTCAGAGTGCACTTTAAGTGACCAGGAAACATTGGGATGGTCACTTTTCGTCCTTTGAAATTGCTTTCAGAAAGAGAAATGGCACGCAAATATCAGATGCCATCATCTTCTTTTCTTCTCAGGGAAGAGCAGGCTAGCTGGAATAACTATGTTTAGCTCGAGGGGATGAGAGAAGTCACTTATGTCTATATTTCAAAAAATTCTGATTCTCCAGGTCACATGACCTTAACAAAAAAGTGGCAAAAATCCATTTTGATTCTGACAATTTCTGAACACTGGATTAAATGTCTAATCAACCTGCTATATTTCCCATCCCGAATGTCTAGGGGCATAGTTCAGAAGTTTCTTGTGCTGAAGTGTTAGCCAAGGAGGATACTGCAGTCACTGGCCGACCCCTGCCCCACCCCTCCCCCCAGGTACTATATTAAGTAAGACAGGATGGCAGGCAGAGGACACATCCCGCTTCATGCCCGAGTGCACAGAGATGATGGAAAACAAGATACCTTTGCTGCACATCTCAAAACAACCTGCAGTCTAATGAATAACATTACAGAACATTGTACAAACAAGACACAGAACAGAGCAAGGAGTGAAAAATTGAAAAAGGAGGAAATATTAAGACAACTGATTTTATGATTGACAGTTTCTTCTCATGAAGGTTCAACAAGGTGGAAAGTGTATTTAATGTTCCCCCATAAAAAGATTAGTGATTCCCCAAATAGATACAGGCTATCTCATTTGGATACATCTGCTCCTATTAGCACAATAAAATTTAAACCCCCATCCTGTCTTTTCAGGGTATTTAGAGAAGCTTCTGAATATGACAATGAGGATCAGATGGAAGTCAAAGTGTTTTGTTATTTCTTCTTCCCTTCCCATTGTATACATTTTGCTCAGGTTGTGATAGCAGGTTTGTTTGAAAGAGAAGCAATTTGTTAGAGTAGGGCAGCTTTAATAAATGGAAATTTCTACAACAGAACATTGTGAGATGTTTAAATATTAACCAGACATATTGCTCATTCCCTCCACTAGATTTCAGAAACTTAATACAAATTAAGTGCACACTTTATTGCTAGATCTTGCTTACCAGGGCTAAGAAATCCACAATGTTCAATTCTAATTAAAAATGAAATTGAACTGTAATTCCCTGGAAACAAAGGCTGATCAAACTCAATAAGCTTTACTTAATTTATTTCAGAAACAAAATAATTGAATTGCTTCTAGTAAAGGACAAAAAGATGCTTACACTGTTATGAGTGCATGGCCCCAAAATCTTTTACATTTCTGCTGTATTCTCAAATTGTCACAATAAACGATGTCTTTGAAAAGTTACTTAGAAAGTCTCAGTTGAATCAGCACTCAGCATTTAAAATAAATAAATAATAAAGACCAAGAAGAAAAAGTCATTCTGGAGAACATGGCTATGCTGTGTAGCAATATATGTAGAAAGAAGATCACCAAAAATATTTCTTAACTCTTAATATGTATACAGGAAGTTTTGTAAATTTCTTGGTTTTGAATGCATTCTA